CCTTAATTGTTCCTCACTTTGATTATTGTAGTTCTGTATGGGGATCAATAGGAAAGGGTTTATCTAACAAAATCCAAAAACTTCAAAATAGGGCTGCCAAGATCAATTGACCACTCTAATGTTTAAAACTATGAATGGCCACGCTCCAGTATATATGTCAAGTATGTTTACTAAAACTGTTGACGTACATACTTATGGTTTACGTCGCACCCAAAACGGTCTGTTTATACCTAGACCTAATTCTGAAGCTATGAAACGTAGCATTTCCTACAGAGGGGCACTGCGTTGGAATAATTTGACAATTTTAGATTTCTAGTAGTTTCTATATTTATTTGTACATAGTTTAATATATAATTAGTATCTTGTTTTGTAATATAATAAATGTAAATACTTGTATTTTAAACCCACGGCTCCCAGGATGAGCATCTGTATTTTTATGGTTGATGATGAGATTCCGTGATTAAATAATGATTAATATAATAATAATAAACACGTATAACTGTGACGATCCTCCGACTTGGAAATCTGTCTGTGTTAAATGTAAAAGGGCTAGGTCCCTTGATGGTGTTTTAGTTAAACTGTTGTTAGTTGTCAGTTTAACCGTTCTGTAATTTTGTTGTTCTACTTAGATTGTTTCGTTAGTCAATTATTTGAACGTAATTTTTTATGTAAATAATTAATGGTCGCCGTAAGTGGGGAAACTTTTGGCGAACTCCCTGGCACTACATTGTTAATTGTATTTTTAGGTAGTTGCCGAATCTTATTAAATATTAAATACAACTTAAACACAACTATAATTACAACGTTTTTACGGATACATTATAACTATATATATATAGAGTGTATTAATGGTCTACGATCAAGCGAGTGATCGTTTTCAATGTCCACAGAACGCTCAGTATCATCAACGAATCCTCGATCAAATTCGTCTTCTGAGTCAAACGATTCTGACTTAGATATAATATTTAACAATTGTTCACTGAAGTGAAGGTGAATAGTGATATTCACCGAAACGCGAAGGTGAGGTGAATATCCGTGCATTAGTGAGCTTAAGCAAGTGACGTTTTTGACAACACGGACGTCGACCGGAAGTAAAGTTGACATTTTTCACCAATCACAGCCCTTGACCCAGTCTTCTGACGTTACTCATGCCGTTCGTGTTGTCAAAAACGTCACTTGCTTAAGCTCACTATTATTCACCGACACGGAGGTGAATAATTGTTTAGCATATACCACAACAAAACAAAAATGACCAAAAACAACGGAAATATTTTTAAAACAATTCTTATTTTAGCTCCCGTATAAATAGTTGTAAACAAAACAGTATTTACACGCTTTTTTAGTCTTTTTTCACTAGAAATAGCTTTAAAGAATACACCTTTACCCACTGTTGAACAAAAGTTTGCAGCTTTCTTTGTGTTTGGGGAAACCGCTGCTTCGTTTAGTACAAATATTTGCTTCTCTGTAACCGGAACGAAACGGGAAGCCATTTTATTTTTGTCCAGAGGTGAATAGTGCAAGGATATCCGGAGCTGAACAACCAATCAAATTACGTGAAAAACACTATCTACCTCCCGAGTATATGCAAATTAAAATATACCCAAACACGTTCGTTGCCCGGCATCATCATACAACCATGCAGTCTTCTCTGAGATGAATAGTTACTTCCACACGCTCCATAAGTCTCATGGACCTTCCAATTTCGTATGCACATGATCTCAGCAAGTTTTGCTCGATATTTTTTTCTGTTTGAAATTCAGGGATTTCATCATTTGAGAAATGAACAAATGTAGTCATGTTTCAATGTCTTATCAGTGTTCAAAATTGCAAAGACAAATTGAAATACTGTTAAAAATGTCAACTAA